AGGAACAAAAATATTAATGATGTCTCTCTGCTAATCTTATAATTTAACTGTAATCAGAGTTTATAAAGAGGGTTACATTTTGTTGTTATACATGCTATGCTATTCAGATTTTAATTGTCTTCCTCATTCATATAGTCATTAGATACTTGATTCCATTATTTGCCATTAAATTCAACAAGTATTTACTGTGCACTGATTATATGCCAGGCACTGCTAAGTACTCCAGTAGATTCAGAGATAAATAATATACCATACATCCAATCTTTTCATTTATTCACATAACATATATATTTTTGAGTACCTACTGTCAACTACTGTTCTAAATATTAGACATTAGACATATAGCAGAGAATAAAACAAAGTCTCTAATCCTACAGAGTTTATAGGCAAATGACATAAATGGGCATTTAATGACCTGGTCAAACAACTACACAAATAGATATAACACAACAAAGAATATAAACAGCCAAAGTAAGGGAAAAGCAGAGAACTATATTTCCAAAGAAGAGATCATATTTGTCTGGGAATGAAAGAAGGATGGAAAATGAGAGGCACTGTCAAATTGGGCTTGAAGAAGGGACAGGAGGATGAAGCAAGGTAGGAGTTTCCAGGTGTGAACCAAGAAACAGAGTTGGGAATGCAGGGGCCGCGTGTGGGGAAGAGTGGAGAACCAGCTTTGATAGCATCCAGGGTAGACTGGAAAAAAAGTGGAAGGCAGAGAAGCAAAAGTTAGTGGGGGCCAAATCAGGAAAGTCTTTGGAGGACTTTTGAGAAGCAAACTGGTAGGACTGGAAGAGTTTGTGCAATAGATTGAAGGGAGAGAAGAGTGCACAGGGCAAAAGAGAGGTGCTGTCCAAACTTGATGTTGGCCTAAGCTCATTTCTTAATAAGACTCCAGGATTTGAATATATTGATTCTTCCTTTTTGCACATGACTATTGGCCTTTGCAGAACTAAATGTGGATTTGAGTATGTGGCTGAATAATTATTTATTAGCAAACTTACCAGTATTAGAATAAGTATTCAAATATCATTATAATACTTAATTGAATATTAATAATAACCTCATTTATATAATGCATTTTATCATGAAGCCATTCCAACATGATGCCACTACTCACCAGGGACCCCAATAAACTGGTCCTGCAGGAGGATGTTTGATGGGGGGAGGGTTGGATGACTGTCCTCCAGACATACACACCCTTAAAGTTCATTATATATATATATGTGTGTGTGTGTGTGTGTGTGTGTGTATACATATATATGTAATTATACTTCCTTTTGATTTTCTGCAACTCACAATCCTTCCTGTTTCTCTCCTGGTGATTTCTGCAAAGTTTTCATTAGAGGATTCACACTACATTTTAAGACACCTTCTGACTTGCAAATTCAATGGCTTTATACAGCTTCTCGCAAAATGCCCTGAACTTAAAAATAAAGAGTTTAGCACCTACCCAAAAGAGCAAAATATATTCTATAATAAAGACATCTGCACCCGAATGTTTATGACAGTACAATTCACTATTGCAACCGATGTGGAAACAACCCAAGTGCCCGTCAATTCATGAGTGGATTATTAAAATTTGGTGTATGTATACAATGGAATATTATTACTCAATTATATGAAATAATGGTGATCTAGCACCTCTTATATTTCCCTGGGTGGAGCTTGAGCCCATCCTCCAAAGTGAGATATCACAAGAACGGAAGAATAGGCTCCACTTGTACTTGCCATCAAATTGGTACTGACTGATTAACACTATGGTGCTCACACGGTAGTAATATTCTCCAGGGATTAGGAGGATGGGAGGGGGGGTGGTAAATTCATAACTAAACGACACAGTGAGCATTGTAGAGCGGAAGGGCATGCCTCTAATCCTTCCTTGGGTGAGGCAAAGACATAAAATGCAACCAAAATGTTTGTACCCTCATAATACCCTGAAATAAAAATAAATAAATAAGGCCGGGCGCGGTGGCTCACGCCTGTAATCCTAGCTCTCTGGGAGGCCGAGGCGGGCGGATTGCTCAAGGCCAGGAGTTCGAAACCAGCCTGAGCAAGAGCGAGACCCCGTCTCTACTATAAATAGAAAGAAATTAATCGGCCTATATATATATATAAAATTAGCCGGGCATGGTGGCGCATGCCTGTAGTCCCAGCTACTTGGGAGGCTGAGGCAGAAGGATTGCTTGAGCCCAGGAGATTGAGGTTGCTGTGAGCTAGGCTGACGTCACGGCACTCACTCTAGCCTGGGCAACAAGCGAGACTCTGTCTCAAAAAAAAAAAAAAATAAATAAATAAATAAATAAATAAATAAATAAATAAATAAAATAAAGAGATTAACTTTTATTTATTTCTTATTGCCTCCACCTATTTAGAGACAAAGCCTACGATTTTCTTGGTCTCTGAAAATCATCCTTTTAATCCATTTTACATATTCAGTCAATAACCATTGAGTTCATGGTCTGTGCGTGGTGTTTTGAAGTTCTGAGAAAATTAGAGATGATATTATCTTAGCCCTGGGTGACCAAATAGTCCCCAAAGTCCAACCACGTGATGTTCTCATGGCTCATTTTCATCAAGCACCACAAGGATGAGCTACCTGCCTTCCCTCCTTGCACCTCTCCGGTGCCCAGGCTCACCCATGTAGATCCCCTTCTCTCAGAAAATAATATCTGTTGGTCCTGGCCCTCTGGAATTTGATCCAGTTAGCTGGGCCACCACCAGTCAGAGCTTGAGAAAAAATAAGGTAGCACATGAAAAGGCCTGAATTAGTGCTTGACTCGTCATAGAAAGGCAACCATTGGCTATGTCTCAGGGGTCTCAGGGCCAGCCAAAGGGTCCTTTATGGAAAAGAGCACCCTGAAATGAAAGCTGGGAGGAGAGAGATAAACCATATAGTGGGGACAAAATATCAGAGTACCAGGAAAGTCAACCAGAAGTGGATGTTTGAAGAGGTGAAACGAGGTCAGCTTGGTGGGTGTACAGAGGGCAGTGCAGGGCCAGCCACGTGACTTGGGGTTTGAGTGAAGAGCTGGATTGGACTGCTTTCCAATCAATCTCATCGTGCAATTCATTCTGTCCCTTTCAGCCTCATAAGGCTTTTCTCAACCACCCCTGCTGTTAGTACAGAACTTTTCAAGAATGGGGAAGTAGAAACAGTGAGTTCATTGATTTTATATCAGGACCATTTTGCGGGATCTACTGTTTGCAGTCTTCACCTTAGTTATTAAGGTCATGGGTGTGTCAGCCCACAAAGACTTGTTCACAAGCCATGTTTGCCTTGGAGCCAGTGGCGATGTTAGGGTAAAGGGAAAATACTTGGACAGAGTTAAAGAAAAGTGATAACTGTGATTACATAAACTTGCCTTTTTCCCCCCTGAATGGTATCCAGATCATGATTAACTATCCCAGAGTTTTTTATCATGGCGATAACTAAAAGGTCTAGGACTATATAAACCAGATTTAGAAAACAATGGGACATAGAAAATTCTACTATGAATGTAGTTGCATGGGGTATGAGAGTGAGAGAGACACCATGAAATGCCCTATAAGTATATTTTCTATTTTTAAATGTAGGTGATTATGTTCTCAGAGCCAAAATAGCCAGGGACTCATTCTTCCCCACCCCACGCCCCCGCCATGGACTTTTCAAATTAAGTCCAAATAGAATTTTCAAATATTAATTTGACACATAAGCTCTGTGTTGACAAGTTTCTGTTTTGGGACATCTGATTGAAGGGTCTTCCCCAAAGAAACTAGTAACTGATTTTGTAAAGGTCAAGAAGCTTTCGGAGTTAGGTAGATATTCATATGTTGGGGTCCTCTCTTCCTAGACTTGTCCCATTTACAAATTTCCAGGGAAGGAAAATTTCGGATTCATGTAATATGTGTATTACGTGTTTTAGTTCTCTGCATCTCATGTATCTCGTCAATTACCACACTATGATTGGTGTTCATAGAGTAACTGTTTTCTTTTCCTCTGAAGATGTATCTCACCTTTTATTGCTGTCATTGCGTATAAGATGCTACGTGGGATATTGTGGGGACGAGGGAGAGAGGTAGTTCCTGGCAATCCCAGCTGTGTTCAATGCACTGAGCTGGGTGAGCCCTCAGTAGAGCAGGCAATGAGCTGCGGGGGGTGGGAGAGGTTCATGGCTGCGTTCCTCACCCTGGTCTGCTCCAGCTCCCACCAATTCTCTTTCACTTACTCTCCAATGCCTGGGATTCCCTCGACAGACAAGGCAGGCCACACAGAGGGGAAATAATTAACTGCAAATATGTTAGGAACTGGTCACATTTAAGCACAGTCTATTTCAAAATAAGGTGTAAATAAGTGGTGTGTGGTCTTTTATTCTCAAGCAGAGTGGGAGGATCTAGAAGAAAGGAAATCAGGAGGATATCAGTTTCCAGGAGAGCCTCTGGGGTTCCCCAGTAGTTGGGAGGGGAGAGGAAGTGCAGAAAAAGAACACCGAGAACCTGAATTATCACTTATTTTACAATGTGGCCTAGCATGGTCCTTCCCCATGTGCAGATCAAATGGTTGGTCAGATTGCCTAATAGCCTAGTGATTGACAATAGATGCAGAGTGACACAAACAGTATTCCTAAGTGAGCCATAAAGCTTTGCATCCCGGGTGACCAGCACACCCCCCCCCCCCAGGAACCATGCTGAGCGACAGTCTCCTGATACACATCGGGGTCCCGAGGGCATGAGAGATGGTGAGAGTCAGAGATCATTTAAAGAAGCCTCCAGCCCCAGCAGGGCTTTGGGCTGTGGACTCTGAGCTCATCTGAAGCTAAGAAGTGCACTGATAGGCGTTTCCATTTCAGGTCTCATCTTCCATCCTTGTGATCCTCCTGAATCTGTCTCAGGTCCTGTTGGTGAGTGAGAGTGGAGAAGGCCCGATCTGTCTAGTTCTTCTTTAGCAGAAGTATTTTTAAAAGACTATGATGAAGGGTAACCCCAGCACATTTCTTGTGGGTACCCCTTCAGCCTGCGAGATGCGGGCAAACGTCAACTCTTCTCACTGTTGCTTTCGCCATTGCCTCAGTGACAGCCATCCTCTGGAGGGCTCTGTCGGGACTCAGAACGCCCATGTCGATGCCTCTCAAGGTGTAGTCAGCGTCCGGAACAACAGTGTTTTGAGCGAATGGTATGGAGTCTTGGACTACGAGAAAGTAAGATGTGAAACACGTTCATTACAGTGCCAAAGAACGCCTTTTCTGGCCCCAAATGTAGCTTCATGCTTTTTCAGAGAAAAGAGGACACTGTCTGCACTTGCCTCCTCTAGGTTTAGGCCCTCGGTGGGATGCATGTCTCTGGGTAAGAGGCCAGCTCTTGCAGTTGTGGGGGCTTCTTTCCAAGCCCAGAATGTAGGGGGAGCCTCAACGAGTCCACAGGGCTCCCACATCCCCTGTGTTCCTGCGAGGTGGTGGTTTCACATGGCCACCAAAGGCCTCTGAACTAAGAAGGTCATTTAAAGAGCCCCCATTTCTTGTAACAGGTATGCACACTAGAAGTTATTTTGTGTTTTAGTGTTAATTTCCCAAGAAGAAGAATGATGCTTTTTATTTTTAGAAATCTGGCTACAACTTGCCCATCTCTTTCAGTAGTAAGACCTGGCAGAAAGATACAAGATTGGGAAGGGCCCACGTGGGTCCTTGGCCCAGCTCTCCAATGGAAAAAGCACACAGCCATGGAAATATCACCCAGCCTTTGCTGGCCTCAGTTTCCTTATCTGCAAAACAGCATCCATAGCTGCCTTGCCTACCAGACAGGACTCTGGAGGATTAAGTGAGGTGACATCGTCACTTACAAGGAGAAGTCACACCCTTGCCTGACACAAAGCCCAAAATCCTCACCCTGGCCCTGAATGCCTTCTGCTGCCCCCTTTCCCACCCATCTCCATGGCATTCTCTCCAGCCACACCGATGTCTCAGGCCAGACACCTGAGATGCAGGTGTCCCTCTGCTCCCATTGCACCTGGCATCCTCCCTCCCCTGACCACCTCCCTTGCTCCCCACCTAACCCCCTTCTGAGACGTCCCCTGAATCCTGCTACAGAGCACACAGTCTACACAGTCTAGTGGTTTCCAACTCTATTTTATGCCATGGAATCTTTTCTGCAAACAAAATATTCCACGTTAGTCCCCAATGCGGAACAGAAGTAGTCAGCACTACTTTGGCTGGATGAGGAGGATGCAGGTGACCCTTGGGCTCAGTCAGACAGAGCTGCAGAACCACTGCTGTAATCCAAGCCAGGAGAGAGGCCCAATGACAGGCCCAGGGCCCCATGGAGCAGGTGGTCAGTGGCAAACCCAAGGCTAGAACCTGCCCCAAGGCTCCTGACAACCCTGCCCATTCAGAGCGTGCTCTGTAACTTGCACAGTGCTCTCACAAGCTCCTACAGCAATTAGTATCTCAACTCATTCTATTATCTTCAGGACAACCCACTGGAGAGGGCCATTATTGTTCCTGCGTTACAGATGAGGAAGCCGAGGATCACGGAGCCCACTGAGGGCCAAGATGGCTGCTAACTGGCAGAGCAGGACCTGAAAGCCTATTTATTGGGCTAACTCCCCACCCCTCCTGTCCCACACGCCCAGTAGTGGTGTGCGAATGCCCTGGAGGATTCCTGCCCTCACCCACAGCCGGGTGCCCCAGAGCCATGGGGCCCTCAGGAACAGCAGGGCTCTGCACGTGATGCCAGTCCTGACGCTGGCCTTGGCTCTGGTGGCCAGGACAGCTCTCCCTGGGGTGCTCTGCAGCACTGTCAGAAGCACAGCTGTGTGCCACGACCTGATGGAGAATAAATGTCCATTCATGTTGTGACTGAATGAATTACATGTTTCTGCTGTGTCACTTTAAGTCCCTCTTAGTGGCTAAGCTGTTTAGCAAGAGGGTCTGTGTCCTGGCCACATGGATCGAGCAGTCTTCCCAAGTTTGGACGACATGAGCAAGGCCCTGAAAAAGCAGGTAAGCAAGACCACTCACTCTGGTTCTCCTTAGCTTGAGGTTTTTCAACCCTGCCTCCAACCTCCTAGGACCAGGCTATGCGCACAGGGAGACGTAGGTCCTGCTTGTTCTGAAAGCCATGGATCCCTCATCACACGAAGAACTCAGGTCCAGCCAATGGCCCATCAGGTCAACTCGTGATTAAATCAATAAAATTCCATGCAATGACCTCATTGAGATGTATTCCAGAAGGATTTGAGCTACATGTTAGTAAATATAAATTATGGAATATAAATATTAGAGTGAATTAATAGAGGATTCACATACCTCTACCTTCTCTCCTCCCCTGCCACTCCCCAAACACATTCACATATATTATCTTTGATTGCAAATAAGCCCAGGACTGCTGAGGTTTTCTTCCCCTCCTCTGAAATGACAAGGGTAGTCTAATTAGTTAAAAAAAAACAAAAACAAAAAAAACAGCAGAGCAGAAAGTCCTTGGCAAGTTGTTGAAATATGCTGTCGTTTGCTTATGTAACCTGCACAGGATATTTAGGCAACACTGATGTCCATGGCAAGAGGGTTTGCTGACTCTTAGGGGAAAAAAGCATACCTTTTTAGGTCACATAAAAATAAAGCAACTTAACCATTTTTTAAAAGAGAGAAGCCTCAAGTGGACCACCCATATGATTTAACAAGTAAACACAATAATGTAAATGCAACACATAATTTTTAAACTATTCTGTATTCCCATCAGAGATGATACAGAACTGAAGGCTGGACAAGCTGTGAAGTTAAAAAGGGCGAAAGTAACAGACAGGAAGTGTCACCATTACACGCAGGCATACAGTTTTTCTGGATTAATGTCGCCACCTTGTGGCCAGTAGGATATTGTTGTTAGAGACGGAACTCAAGGGCAAATTTGGGTTCAGAGCTATTTTTGTCAATTGTATCACCCCCATACCCTGCGGCCACTTACCTGTGGGCCAGGCCCCAGGAATCCATATGTGCCATCTCACCGTTGTGATGCGCCACCCCTTCCAGGACTTCAAGCCTTACCCACCCACCCACGGCCTGACCTACAATGTTGTACCCAGCCTCGTCAAGAACTTAGTGCAGTATGGAATGCTCATCAGGGACATGTGCAGAGATGTCCCCACCTACTTTGCCCAGCAGCAACAAAAAGGTGTGTTAGCCATGTAACTAGAGACCCAAGACCACGTGTGAGTATGAATTTTAGGTCATTGGCAAATTTTAATGACAGTTGTCGGGTTTATTCTATCTCTTTGTTACTGGGTATAGAAATAATGTGGCAGAGCATGTATGCCCCTCAGTGGCAGAGAACATTTCTGGGGCTCATTGAGAATGAGGAGCAGAGTTAGCTTGACCAAAAGGTCAAAGTCAGTCATCTCATCAGTGGGGTTTGACAGTTGCTGGACACCCTCACAGGACACAAAGCCTCACCACCGCCCCTGCCCAAGCAACACGGTGCCCAGCAGCCTCCACCAGAGGCCTGTGGCTTTGGGGTCTTCATTCCTCCCCTATCTCAAGCTGCCCAAAGGTCGGAAGGCAAGACCCTAATAGTTCCAGACCCCACTTGGAAGGGAGCACCTGCTAGGGTTGTGGTGGGGGACAGTGATGACCAGTTTGGAACACTACCAGAAAAGAGGTCACCATCTGCCTGCTAGGCCAGATATAGTCAGTAACCCCTTCCCAGTAGGCTGCTGCCAGTCACTTACATCTTAGTATAAGTTAGCCCAGCAAGCAAGGCTTCTTCATAATGGGAGGCTACGGCAGGAAAACAGGGAGGACTTGAGCAGCTGGAGGACTAAGGAGGACAGTTAGGGGTCAGTAAAAGAAATAGGAAGAGGAGGTGTAGGGCCAGTTATTGCAAGGTGTGGTGGGATCTTCCATTTTAGTTGCATGGTCTCTTGCTAGTAGAGCTATCCTGGAACACCACCTCTGGTTTAGATGCAGCTCAGCATATTAACACATCCATTCTACTATGGGGTGATCTCTTTTTTGTAAAATACTTCTATTTCTTTTTAAAGGTACTGTCCTGGCAATTGACCCTGATTCCTGTTTTGAAGCCCAACTTGTCTCCTTTATGGGACTGTCCATCTGTGGCGAGATCCTTGGGCTCTGAACCTCCAGGTTGGCCACGTGGAGCATGGACCCACCTGGCCTGGGGCTGGTGCTAGGACCCGGCCCCCTCTACCTGTGGGGAGCTGCTCTTTTCAGTCCTCTGCCTTCTGCCTTTCGACCCAACACCCAGCTCTGCAATCTGGGAGAGCGAGTGCACCTTCCGCTCTGGGTCCGAACAATGAAGCTTCTTGCCTCACTGGTCCAGCATGAGCCTGCCCCGCCTGCACTGTCCCCAGCCTCTCACAGCCCAGGACCTTCCACACCAGCATGGTGTGAGGGACGAGGCCCCTCTCCCAGGTTGTCTTATTCCTTCATGACTTCTCTCTAGGGTGTCCCTTGACGAACTCCTTGAGAATTTTGTTTAAAAAAAGCAATCAGTGAATCAAGAATAAGCAATGATGCTAGCACAGGCTAGCATCAGGCTAGACATTCTCAGGTCTGAGGCCACATCTCTGTGTCCTGAAAATTAGTGCTGAGATTCTAAGGACACCTATTCCCCGTGGTGTCCCAGGCTTGGAGATCCACGTGAACCTCCCTTTGGAACCGGTTTAAAGCCCTTAGCAGTAACCCCCCAGGCATGTCTCCCCAGTGCAAATTAATAAGAGACCTGGATTCTCAGCACTTGCTCATTAACTGCCTGTTCCTGTAGCTGGGAGCCAGGCCCACCCAAAGCACATACAGCAGCCCTGGCTCCCCTTACTGCTGGAACAGGAACAAACAGGGAAGGAGTGTTCAGACACAGATGTCCATGGGAGGTCGTATTGGACTCTGGAGCCCTTCAAAATCGGGTGGGGCTGGGTGGGGATGTTGTGTAGGGTGATGAGGGTGCTGCTCAGCCCGTTCTGCCGAGGGCCTGGAGTAGCGGGGCGGTGTGGCTGCCTGCAGCCAGCAGAGAAGAGCGATTGCATAGGAAAGGCCACGCTGAACCACTACCTGGGCTGACACAGGGTGTGGCTGGGCGGGCCAGAGGCTCTGAACCTAAGGATTGGTCACATGCGGCTTGTCGAGGGTAAGGCCAGTGAAGACGTGCACACGACCACATTCTCAGTGGAAGCATTAGAAGCTACATACCAAGGTCAACGAACCCTGACCTCTCTGCACCTTGTCCCTGACACCCAGCCACCACCTCACAGTCCAACTCTGGGAACCAGTCCCCATCCTGTCCCACATGCCTGAGTCCCCGTTGCTGGATCCCTGCTCTCGAGCCCTCTGAGATGTTGCAGGGCCGGGCCTGGGGCCTACTGACCACTGCCTTGCCAGTCTCCCCTCCTTGGGCTTCTGAGCTCCAGCTGCTCCTGAATTCCCCATCACGCCAGACCCCGTCCAATCGCTGTGACATCACTGTTGCTTCCGGGATGCAAAACCCCCACCCACCCACCGTGCTCACCTCCATCTGTCACCAACTGTCCCTGCAGATCTGAGCTCTGCCAGCTGGATGGTTTCCTCCCAGAAACTCTGGGTACAAACTCTGCTGCCCCCGTCTGCATCCTCAGTCTTGGTGTCACTGACTGGGCTGTGACAGCTCTGTCCTGAGAAGGAGGCAGCACATTCCTCCAGACCTAGAGGACTCATCAAGGTAGACTTTGGTGCCCACATAGGAATTTCCATACCTGCACCGGATTTGGGTCCTTTGGGAGTTGGGGTGACAAGGGCAAAAAAAATGTCATTCAAGGTTTTGCCGCCCTACTGAGGACCATTGCTAACATTTATCCTTAGAGTTCATCTAATTCAGCACTCAATGAAATTTGCCATGTTTGAATCTCAAACCAATGTCCCTGACCCAAATGATTACCATGTCTACCAAGGCCACCAGCCTTCTGTTTAAAATAAGCCCATTATCCGAAGTGAGGTGACACAAGATCACCTTGGGTGATCCACATGTACTCACCATCAAATTGGTGATCCACATGTACTCGCCAGGATAATGGGCTCCACATGTACTCGCCATCAAATTGGTACTGACTGATTAACACTATGGTGCTCAAAGGGTGGTGGTGTTCACCAGGGATTCGGGAGTTGGGGGGATAGTCCCACATCTGGGGGATGTGGTGAGCATTGTGGAGGAGAAGGGCACACCTCTAACCCTTGCTAGGGAGAGGCAAAGATATAAAATGTAACCAAAATGTTAAAAAAAAAAAAAAAAAACATTTATCGGGTGTCGGGCGGGTGGGAGATGGGAGGAGGGGACGGGTATTTACCTACATAGTGAGTGCGCTGCGCACCGTCTGGGGGATGGACACACTTGAAGCTCTCACTCAGGGGGAGGGGAGGCAAGGGCAATGTATGTAACCTTAACGTTTGTAGCCCCATAATATGCAGAAATAAAAAATAATAGGGTGACACGAGCACTAAGACTGTGTCCTCTATGTGTGCCTGAAGAACTGAAGCTTCTTACAAAGTCCATGGTAATAATTTGTGAGTCTCTCTGCGACTGCCTAAAAGTGGCTAAGAATTAGCCCAGTGATCCTCTGAGCAGGGAAATCTTCTATTTTCTTGTCTTCCTCTCTTGGGGCAGGCCCTGCGTTGACATAGGCTGACATGTTCCGTGCTGCCGGGAAAAGGGAAAAGGGGCTGGGAACCCCCAGGCCCCAGCTGAGCCGTCTCCACCACTGCTGCCCTCGGCTGAGCACTGCATTGTGGGCAGACACAGCCACCTCCGGCACTGATCAGGGAGCCCCTGGCCGCTCAAGGATCACAAGCCCTCTGGACCCAATGCAGAATTTGGAGCGTCTCTCCCCAGCCTGTGGGGTCTCAATTGTTCACATGTGCCCTGAAGTTTATGCCCTGGTTTCTTAGAGTAACAGTGGGAAAAGGAAGGTTTTTCTCTTCTGTGGCTTTGGTTGTTTTTACTCAAAGTTCGCACCCACCACCCTGGGTCTGCAACATGAGTCCACTGGGGACTGGACAGGGACACATCTGCGCACAAGATATCACATTGTGGTCAGAGTTATTCCTGCCCTCCGGGGCTTGTTACTGGGTTAAGACTGTGTCCCAGGCCCCTCTTCCCTGAGCAGAAGACCTCCTCTAGCAGAGTTCTCAGTCCTTCTGCAAGTATGCACTTGGAAGATTACCCAGAAGTCTTTAAGTAATGTCTAAACCCCCATTGGGACCCACACAAAACTCTCCCCCACAAAATCTCTGAGATTCCTTCAAAAATTCCACCCTTGCCCAAGAATCCTTTCCCATGAGAGGAGATCCAAGACAGAGATCAAATTTCCTGGCCTCCTTGTTTAGAGAGTGACACTCCATTAACAGACGTCCCTTTAAGAGGAACGTCTTGCCCTGGCCCTTTCCACCCCTCCCAGTGTCACTTCTAACTCTCCCTGCCACTCCTGCTTGTCTGCAGCCTGGGGAAGAGCCACTGGCCCAAGCTTGGGTGTGTGGGTCTGGGTGACCAGGTTCACCAGGGCCCAGTAGCAGCTGCCTAACATGTTCATTCTCTGGCCTTCTGCTCACTCTAATCTCTTAGTTTCTTTCCCAAGGGATAGGAGCAGTGACCAGTATCCCGATTGGAATGTGCTGCCTGCTATGGTGGAAAGCCCGTCCCCACAGCTTGACCCCGGTGTCAGTGGCTACCCCGTGGAGCACCTCCATGGGGCCATGTCAGTTCGGGCAGTGCTTGTCACACGGGCAGTGGCCTGGCTGTCCACAGCAAGTGGAGCTGGAGCTGTCTGCAGGCTGCACCCTCTCAGTGCCAAAGGAGGACCACAGCACCTGGCAGCCAAAGCACGAGCCTTTGGGTGCTGATGTGGGCTCCAACCATGAAGGACTGGGTGGGCCTTCTTTTTATTCAGTTGTGTTTTGAATTTTAAAAATATATTAACATTTTTATTGAGGTGTAACACACAATAAAGTGCAGATTTTAAGTGCACAGCCTAATGAGTTTTGACGTATATACACCCAATGTAGCCATCACCCATGCTGCAGCCAGGGAACCCCTCCCTCGTGGTTAATAGCTGAGGAAATGGGCTTGTCATCTTAACGTGGGGTAAATCTAGACCCCAAAAACCCCAAGAAGCACTTGACTCAGTTCCTGAATTTGTTCTGAGCCCCCTGCATCAGAGCTGCTGCAACCTCAGACATTTCCCCAAGAGCTGGGGAGCACCAAGGATGCTGTCTGGACTGACAGAAGGAACAGGAGGCCAAGCAGGGTGGGACAGTGGGTTTCCAGTGACAGTCACGGCTCAGTCATCTTATGAGTGGCCCACTGTACTGCGTTTTTGCAATGTGAGTACAGGAATGTGGTGGGCTGGGGGCTTGGGGGACCACTAGTGCTGGGGCGGGCCCAGGTCCTAGGGTATGTGCACTCATGGGACTAACTCCAGCCTCTGTCAGGCACACCTGTAAGGACGCCTTCCACTGTGAATAAAAAGAACTTGGTGACAGTGACCTACACAGAAGGAGACTGATCCAGATCACAGGAGTCTGAAGGAAGACAGTCTCAGCTGGTGCAGCTCTAGAATGAGGCAATTAGACTTCCTAGCCCTTTCTTTCTTTCCTCTCTAGGATTGTTACCTCATGGTCCCAAAATGGCTAATGTGTCTCCTAACATCAATCTTGTATCCGCATCAAAAGAAGGAAATAGGAAAGGGCAAAAGGCACAGTTGCACACCAGCTGAGTCCATCCCTCTTTATCAGGAAGAAAAGGCTTCCCTGGACACCCCGCTGGGCAAACTTCCACCTCCAGCTCATTGACAGGAACTCAGGCCACGTGGCCACCCACAGACCGATCACAGGCTGATTAATGACATTACCTTATTTTCTTAAGAAAAACAGGAGTGATTTAGCTCAGCCTTCTCAGCTTTGGCATGACTGACATTTGGGGCCAGAACATTCTTTGTTGTGGGCGTCTGTCTTGTAAAGCCTCCTAGGATGGTTAGCAGCATCTCTGGTGTCTACCCAGTAGATCCCAGCAGCTTGCCCTCCACTTATAACAGCCATAAATGTCTCCAACATCATCAGATGTTGGGAAGGAAAATCACACCCCAGCTGGAAACTACTGATTCAGACCAATCATGATTAATTCTCTGGAAATAAAGAAATATATTCCCTAAAATTAAAGAGTCTTTAGCTGCTACCTAAACAAATTGGGGTTCTGTTAGCAGGAAAGAAGGAGATGGGGAATGGGGGTTGGGGTATCAGTGGACTGTTTTGCCATAGAATATTAGACAACTCTGATTTGGCAATAGGTGAGTGAGCATTTCTTTCAAAGATCATATCCTTGTTAGTTTCTGCCTTGTTTTGGTCACTCTAGTGCCTTCAAATGATTACTTTTTATACTTTATCCAGGTTTATAATTGTTATGGCAGGAGGGTTAGTCTGATATAAGCTACTTCACCATTATCAGAAGCTAGAAATCTTAATATTTTATTAGTTCAGCAATTTATATTTATTATGTTTGAGTTAACTGGTGCTTGAATTCATTCATTGAGTCAGTTATCGAAACAAATAATTTTATAATAAAGTATTTGTTCGGGTCCATATATTCTAATCCCGGGAGCTCTGGATGAACAAACTGTGTTCTGTTCTATCTCAGATGAGCAGATGAGTGTGCGGGACCCATGACACATCATTTACTGTGAGGAGCAAAACCATATAGGAAATGAGAACTCCATCCACAAGCCTCGCCAAGCTTCCTGCAAAAGCTCCCTTGGCACACTGCTGTCCTCGGTCAGGCTGCTCTCTCGGGCCAGGTTTTGTAGCCCAACCAGCTTTTCTAGCATCCTGGATGCTTTGTTATACTCGGTCCAGTCTTGCTCCTCCTCCTCCTTGGTGGCCCAGAGAGGTTCTACGGCTTGAGCATCCATTAAGTTAACACAGTTGATAGCTTCTTTCCTCAGCCTTTGAGAAGGGGCTAATTACAAAGAGAAGATAATGGAGCTCCAGCTTCCTTGTGGCTTCCATGTGGATGTATTCCTTTTAAACACGAGCCTGGTACCCTGCACCTGGGGCTCCTAACAGGTATTTAACTCCACAACAGCATGGAAGAGAGTTAACTGACTTAGAGAGAGCAGAGTCAGGAAAAAACAGAAATCAAAGTTCTAGCTTTGAACATGAGAACGGTATTATAAAATTGAATGAGTCTAACACATCTTTAAGCAATAGGTTCCAGAGGAGGTAGCCAGTCATAACTTCTCTTCCTGCACTCAACCTTCCCACCCACTCCATTGCTGGCCACAGGATTGCACCCCTTGGGAGACAATTAGGGTCAGCTCCAGAGATTTTTAAATTAAAATTAATTTGAAATTAGAGCTAAGAGGAGGAGTCCCCTCCTCTCTGATGATGAAGCTGGGAAGATGAGAAACTAAGTTGACTGTAGTGTTGGTTCTATCCTTTGGAAAACCAGCATCAGATACTGAGGCTGACATGTACAGAGGAGGAGAGTGAGGATGTGGAAAAAGAGTGTCTGGCCACCTTCACACGCCTACTTCTGAGACCAGAATATCCCTTTCCCTCCATGGTTAGTTATATGAGACAATAAACTCCCTCTTGGCCTCAGCAAATCTGACTTGGGTTGTATCATTTGCAAACACCAAGGTGCCAGCTAATACACTCTACCATTCATTTCGCACTTTATTATACACTCTTTACTGTTATCAAATGTTTTCATAAAAATGTAATTTATTTCCCCAGCAAGAAAATAACTTTCCTGACTATAGTAACTGTGCATTGGGCCTCTTCCCCTGGCATACCTATCCCACTGCTTGAGATATATTCATTGACAGCTATTACGAAGTAGACATACAGGTTTAGGAATAAGAGTAGTTGATGGCAGGAGGAGATTCTTATTAAAGTAGTTCTACTTCATTCTGAACTTCTATCCACCTGACTAGTCTGCATAAGACCCAGCTACATGATCTAGGAATTCGCCTACACTGTACAATTATTTGAAATCTTGGAAATTGCTTTCCTGCTATATATTGATGTGGCATTCCCAATTAGGCTTTCACTCCTGTTAAGACTTTCAGCAAGGTGCATCTTTTCCTGGGTGTTGGGTGCTCCTTCCCCCCTCCCTCCTTACCCCAGGACAACACATATCACAATAGGGTTTATTAAGTTTAGTTCCACTGTTTTGGAGAGTTAAAAGGTATTTCCTAAAACGCATATGAATGGCCCTCAGAGCCGGGTGCTCTGGCAGAGGGATAGTTTCCTTCACCTGAGCAGTCAAGTTGTTTGATAGGCGTATGTCCCTCCTCCTCACCAGGTCAAGGCCACCACCACTTGAGCCCCTCCTCCACCCAGGCTGCCCCCATGCCTTGGGACAGACACATGGGCAGCTGGTCTGGTGGGCAGATGCAGGATGGAGACTGGCACCAAGCTGACTACTCTGCCTGTCACCCAGCTATACTATCTGGGAATGTCTACCCATTATGCACCGTATTTGAAATTCTGGAAATTTTTTCCCCTTCTATGTATTGACATAAGCATTGCTTGACTTCCTTTTGCTGCTTACAAAAAGAACAAACACACAGATATCTGTAAATATAACATTTATATTTTACTACTGAACATCAAAATTAGTTGGGGCATTGGGAAAGGATTTAATTTGGCTTCTGAGTGGAAAACAACAGGGCATTTCTTTGAAAAGATGAGACCAGTGGGCTGATCATCCTAAATGTGAATGTCTGCACAGAGGGAAATTCCCAGGATGCCCAGGAGCCCAACCTTTGCACAGCCTCCAGCACCAGTATTTTCTGGAAAGGAGAAAAATTTTTGAAGAAAGAGCATTTAGAAACACATTATTAGAATGCAACAAACCAATGCTTTTTGCAAATGTCTTGACTAGGGAATGCAAATGTAACTTCATGTTACCCATGATTTTAGCTATACTTACATTGCAAAGGATAATAAATATTAGTTTATACAATACTGACAATTCCTGGAAGTGCTGGTTGGCTTAATCCCAGTTGAGGTTATGACATTCTGTGTTGATGGCAAGTGCCTTTGCTTACTTTAGTAATTAGTACTTAATTTTTTTCTGGGCAGTAGAAATGTAATTAATGTGAATTCTTCTTTACATCCACTACTCTGAGGAATTTCTTTTGTTGTGCTCTTCATCTATTGTCCCTGCCCTCTTTCACTCTGGCTACTCTGCCACATTGAGAAGCTGTGTATAAAAAGTCCAATAATTACTGCAGTGCCACGTGTAACCAGGATGAATCGGGGCTTTTATTCCGTCAGTGCACTTTGCCTGCTTTTCCCTGGACTAATTCTATTCTAGATTCTGAGAGCATTTCTTAATGACTTCCTTCTTACCATCTCCAAAAGATGTAATTCCAAGAATCTGGAATACTTTTTCCTACTTGAAATTCTTACATATGGAAGAATAAGAGAATCCAATAGTTTTTCCTTGGCACGCAGGAATCTTTATTTCATGCTCTCTTTTTACTCGCAACCTCTCCACTAGACTATGTGTCCCTTGGAGACAGAATTTGATTCATTTCTATGTCCTTAACGTTTAGCACAATTTGCACACAAAGCAGGTAGTTAATTCCCAAAGAAAAATGAATTGAGTCATGTTTTCATTTATTTGTATTTCGCACAGCAGCTACAGAGTGCCTGGCACAAAGTAGCCCTCGAAAAATATTTGGTGAATGAACAAACAATCTATGGGTACTCACCTCTCTGTTTTTCAACCACTTCCCCCTTATACAACGGGATATGTTCGCAGAGATTCTTAATGGGTGACCCAAACAGGAACCAGTCCATATCTGTGACCAGAGCCTCCACAGGATTGTACTTGACCCAAGTGTATTTGTTGGAGTACAAGTTGTTCAGAGCCTAGATCAATGTCACAGAAAGGGACAGCATAAAATAAACTGGCACTGTCTGGTGGACCTTATTCTAAATTGTGACTGTTTTTCTCTTTCAGATTATTAAACAGAAGATGGCCAGGGATCTCAAGACATCATCTCTTCCTGACCACTCTGCCTGCAGAGAAGCTTCATTATTACCAGTGTGATTTTACTGCTGGTGGCAATGAACCCCAGAGAAGTTAAGTAAGTCCCACGCCCAAGGTGGCACATATGGGAAGTTATGGAGAGAGACTTAAACCCCAGTTCTCCAGCCTCAGGACAGTGTTTGCACATGCTCACTATACTGAATTGTGTCTTTGCATCTTTATGTCATTGAATGTTAGAACTTTACTCATTTTCTGCCAATCACTGTTTCTTAGAGCCCTGCTCTGAGAAGAGAAGCTGATCAGTCCTTTCTACAAAGTCACTGGAATGTATTAAAAGTTCTTGCAGTTGGGGCTATGCGGTGGAAATCAAGCTGAGATGTACTCCTGCTCTCAAAAAAATAAAAAAAGTGAAAACTCTTTAGTAAGCTGAGAACCATATTTATGGTAAGGCACAATATTGACCTTTGCCATCATCCTCTTCATCTCTCAATAGGCACCAGTATTGCCTGGCTCAAGAATAGAGAATACACAAGGGTACCCCAGAATTACCTGTTTCTCGTAGATGTACCGTTGGAGTGTGTCCAGAGCAGGGATGGCTTTGTGGTTCATCTTCAGGATGAAGCAGGCTCTTCGGGAGAGCACCCTGGATGCAATATAGCCCTGAGGAGCAAGAGCACAATTACTGCCACTCCCCAGCTCCCTGGGTTCTGAACTTGGTAAGGATGATGTCTGAGCCTTGGAGGAAAGACCTGTGCCCGCACAGTGAATATACGAAGAGATTGCTTTCCAATCTGCAATCAGTTCTAACTGCATGACTTCTTTTGCATAGCATTTTTATTTTTTCACTTGTCATTTCTGCCCCTTTGAAATTGTACAAACCCATGACTTGTATTCTCCTTTTCCTGTTATAGAACCAGGATCTGCAATTTGGAGTTTGAAAGATTGAGAAGAAACAGCTCCTCCTCTCTTTCCATTGGTTTTGTTCTGCCTCATCTCAATTGGGAGTAAATAAAATAATCTTTAGAAATGTGCTGTCCAATATGATAGTTACTAGCCACATATGGCTATTTAAATTTAAAATCAAATTAGATAAAATTTAAATGTACTTCCTTCATCACACATGCTGAGTGTTCACTAGCCACAAGTGGCTAGGGGCTTCCCTACTGGAAGTATAAATATAGAACACTTCCACCATCGCAGAACGTTCTGTTGGACAGTGCTGCTTTAGGAAATCCCCTAAGCACCCTCGCGCCCACCTCACCCGCCACACACATGCATGTTTCATGTATTCTCCACTCCTTTACCACCTTCTCTTCTTCTTTTCCAGCTTTCTCTGTCCTTTCCCCGCCTCAAACCCAAGCTGGCTGGATAGGGAGGGGTTGGAGGGAGGCGGGATTGGAAGAGCAATGGAGCGTGAGCACCTTGGGACCAGAAGGGACCTAAGTCCATCAAGTCCTCATCCATAGTAGAAACTGTCTCTGCAGCGTTCGAAACAATTATACACCCTATAAGATTGTATCTAATGAAACTCTGCTAGTTCGTATTTTTCAATTCTCACAAATTGCCAGTTCCTAAAATTTGAAATAGACTGAGGCTGAACCTGTTGATAAAGGAAGAAACTTAAAGCAACTCCTCATCAATCTATTTTTTAGACACTTTTGGGATTTCCATGTCAACTGCTTAAAAATGATTTTAGAGACTGTTTTAAAGACTCTAAACTTTCGAATGTGTCATGGAACTGCCAATGACAGTGAGGAAGAGGCATGTGAGGAGGTTTCTAGAAGAAAAAAAAAAGTATGTTCAAACATCCAGTAAGATGGACTAGAACCTACTTATACCAGCAGTGTGTAGCTCTGAGCCTAGGTAAGGTCAGGTTCACAGTTAGTATAGATGGAACAAATGGAAAACAAACAAATTAATGTATGCGGGTCAAGTTTTTAGCACAGGTTTCTGAGACTTATTGTTAATATCAGTAACTAAAACTTGGAAATAGTTCAGTGCTTTTAGTTAATATACTTTCCTTCTTATAGTAAAAGCATGATTCATTGCTTATTCTATATATATAATTCAATGTGTGTAGTTGCTCATGATTTCTGCTATTTTGTGGTTGTTCTTCTTTGGGATGGTGTTTTATATTAGAAGCCCTAATTCATTTGTTTAGTCATTCAACACATATTTTTGAGAGTGCCAGGCATCACTTTGGGCCTTGGCCACTCTTCTACACACTTTCTGAGCCTGCAGTGGGGCAATATCACCACTGTTCCTTCCAATTTCCACCTGGAAAAGTCCAGCAAAGACTTATGTTTCCTGTCATACTTTTTTCTTAGACATACTTTTGTTTGCATGTTTGTTTTTTAATTGATTGCTTGATTATTTAAAGGGAAAAGTGGAAGTGTGAAAATTCTTAGACAATTGCAAGGATGGATCTTAGAATTTGAATATATAACAAACAGCTGTCCCTCTGCCCTTTAGAAAACCAGTCTCGAAAAATATGAAAATTAATTTACTGCTTACATGTTTATAGTCAAAAATTGTGGTAGAAGAGCATGATCCCGCATGGATGTTAACGATGGCGACATTTTTTTCGTTGTCAATTGACACTGTCTCCTGAACATTGCCACCATTGCTGCTTGGGCTGATGATGTTAAAAACCTAGATTGACAACAAAGAAATGATGGTTCTTCCATAAATCTTATGCATTTGAAAGGCAACCTCTTCAACAAAACAAAGCCTCCTTCCCACTATGACCAAGGGATTGGAGGCTAAAACCTCCCCACTAGGATCCCAGTCCAATAAGAATGCAAAGCATTTCCTCACAGTTTCCTATATTGTATGTGGGAGAAGCAATGATATCCCAGGAGAAATGAGACTGACCACGTTTGAAATTAATGGGTTACATTCATGAAGTTATTGCAATTGGAGCGAAATAAGCAGCCCCATTGTTTCCATTATTGATTGTTTTTGAGATTCCCTCCCAAATAGGGTATACGAGCTCTCCTCTGTGCTTCAGATTATCTTATATCTTCCTTTCCCCCTCTCAATGTCACTAAGAAATAAAGCCCATAAGCAACCAACTCACCTCATATCCATGAGATTGTATCCCAAAGACAGCCAGCACCACCAGAAATGCCACCTGAAAAGCAGACCAGCCACATCCACTCCCTTTAGGGTAGTCATTGAGAGTGGGGACAGGAGGGTACATTGAACAGGAAAGGCACAAATATTTCAGAAAACATATACCCAGAGACACTGGCGAGTGGTCATGGATGGCCAACAGTCCATTTCCTAAGTGTGAACACACACATTCACTCATTTAACAGGCATTTGTTGAGTTCACTGTATTTGTCAGATACAAGATTCTAACTTTGCTACCCAGTTCCCAACACTTCCAACACTATAACCATCAAATCTGGGTGCAGGTGAGCAGTGAAGAAGGACTCATTTTACTATGGAAATACCCTGGCATGATTCATACTGGCTTTAGATCATGTTGATCAAATTATGTCCTCTGGTTTAAAAAAATTTTTTTAATTCCTTAAGACTGAGAAGATAATACACATTTAAAATGGATTCATGGGTGATAAAGACACAGTGAATTTCTAAGGGAAACCATGAAAATAAAATGCTTGGGAGCATGATTAACTTTTAGGGCTGACATCAAGGAAACCCTCCATACTCCACACCCATGCCTTGGTGATACTACCAGACAAGGGCTGGGCCAGCAGGTCATGACCCTGACATCGAGGGAGTTCTGATAGTCTGCCGTCATTACGTGAGAGTCTGATCCAACATGCTAACCCCGGTTTGTGTCCTCTCTTCTGAACATCAGCCTACTGTACTGTCATTGAAAACTACTGATAGTGGGTAGGGCAGGTGTTTTTAGGAACTGTCAGTGGGACTTTTCTACTTCCCTTTCCATCCCATCATTTCTCTTCTGGTGACTGGGGGTGGAGCACCTAGCAAAGACCTAGATATGGATATTCAACCTGCCTACTTCCATAGGAACACATCTTCTCTTGCCCCAGGCCAGCTCTAGTAATCTCTGATGCTCCCATATATTCTAGTTCACTGGTCTAAAACAGATATTTGAACAAGTGGACGAAGGGCTAACCACTTTAATGCTATGATCAGAGAGAGCACAGAGAATGTTCTTCTGCCCCAAAATAATCTCTCATCCAACATCGTGATTAATACACCATAGTTAAAAGTTTATGATTCTCCTCTTAAAGGTTATTTCTCCTCTTGAAAAATCAAGAGACCCCCTGGAAGAGGGAACTCTTTAAGCTGACAGCCCTTAACACCTTATAGGAAGGTACTTAACATTTTGCTTTCTCCCTGAGCAGCTGAGTGAGAATAAAGGGCAAAGACTGGGGGAGGAGGTTCCATTCTGGATCAGAACATACTCCTCCATCACAGGGCACTGCAAAGTGGAGCTATGGAGGCTGGGCTCAGATGGAGGAGTAGGGTGATCATGGAAGGAATGCTTTGTCTTAAGAAAGAATTTAGACACCATCGGTGGCCACTGAAGGCATTCTGGCTGCTTAAATTTTGCCATGATTGCTCCTATAAGTGAGGACTAAAATGGATACATCATATCCTAAATCCCACATTTACAGGTTTGGGAAAACCACATTCCTCTGAGGTTCAGTCTCCTTGTCTGTAAAATGGGGATAATACTACTCAGCTCATGATACGTTTGTTACAATGAATAGATGAGATTCCTCGTGTGCAATGCTTAGCCTCAGGCTTAGTATGCACTTGGGAAGTGATAGCTGCTATTTTACTATCATTGATAATATTGTTTTTAAAATCACCACTTCTCTCTTAGATAGTAAATGCAGCTGTTTTAAATCACCTACATTCCCTGCAAAGCTCATAATAAGGGATTATTATTAAATAGCCACCAAGTTAAAATTCTCTAGATATGCCCAAAATTTTTTATTTGTTTTTTAGTAAATATCTCAAAAGTTAGACAATGGAAAAATAAATATCTGACTTATTCAACACTATTCCTCCCAAAGACATCATTAATTCAATCACAGATGCTTACAGGCATGTACAGTGTTTGTCTAAGTCCCCTGAAAGCCGTGGCATATTGGATATGAGCATTCTCTGCAAACAGCCAACACAAGAATATCAAGAACCATAAATGAATACTCACAAGGATTTTCATCTTGCCTGAAGGGAAGAAGGTGCTGAAGCAAGTGAAACTGCCTAATACAGCTTCTATGGCTTTTATATTGGCGTTAAGGTGTGGAAATCTCTTTTCCAAATGATCACTTTGGAAAAGACCATGTCTATATCTCTAACACACCCCCAGCAAACTCCTTTATCAGCATTGAGACCCAGCCACATAACTGATATCAATGAAGTTCATTAGTCAGTAGTGAAAATTCAGCACTTCGTCACTCTGTAAATATTCCCTGCTTATCTGTTCTGTGTTGCACTTAAGATTTCGATTTCCACCCTTTGAAAATATTGTAAGATGCTCGTTCTAGGCATACATTTTATAGACATAGAAGGACATATTCCTAAAATCTCCTCCTAAAGGTAAAGTCCTTCCTTAAGACCCCAGTTGGGCCTCACCCCATGTCTTTCCATCACTGCTCTGCTTGCTGAATTCTTCCACCTGAGGAATGGACATGAGACTGGAAGGGAGGGTGATGGCTAGGAGCCCTGCTTTGAAAACAATCTTGTGACATTATTTGTTCTTCCCTTTAGACTTGGTGCCAATTTCCAGAGAGGAACAGAGCTCAGAAAACATTCTACCCAACTTCCAGGGTTAACCAAGTTTTTACATTAAGCCTTGTTCAAAACTCCTTGAAAACTATATGTTGTATGTCTCTAGTTGTCTTGAGATATATCTATAGGTATCTCAAGGGGTGTTGAGAAATTCTCAGATTTAAGAAAAAGAGAGAGAGAATAAAGTTTAATTCGTGTAATTATTTAACACTATAATTAGAAATGGCTAGTTAGTGTCAGGATGGGATCGTGAACTCAGAAGGCAGGGAAATGTTTTTTAAAAACCTGAAATTTGTAAAATTGTAAAATACTGAGAATCACCACATTGAGCATGGTGATAACATGAATAATGTCCTTGTTCTACAGATGAAATAACTTTCTAACTAGTAACTTAAAAAAAAAATTTAGGGCTTTCAAAAAGTGGACATACAGGCGATTTGGGGGTTACCTAGTTTCACTGGAATTCCCCTACTGTGATTGTTCTGCTGGGTGGATGTAAAATGTGCAGCTTTATTAAATCTTTCTGAGATAGCAGCAGTAGAAAGGATTATAGTTTCATAGTACATTTGCAAATTAGCTCCCTTATCTGGCTCCCCAGACTCCAAAAAGCAAGCCAGCAATGATCATAAACATTAGGGTTGATGAAAGTATCATAGCTTATGCTCTACTTTGTCCCCCTCTTCCTGTCCCCAGGACTTCTGAGTCTATAGGTCTAGTGATGATAATAGCTAGCATTTATGGAGCACTTAATATGTTCCAGCACTTCCTAAACATTTTGCTTATATTGACATTTGATCCCTCATAGCAACCTTATAAGTTACCTTCTACCCTGTTCCATTTCACAGATGGGAAAACCAAAGTGCAGGGAAGCTAAGTAACTCCAGGGTTATACAGTGTCTAATGGAAGCGGGTGGGATTTAAACCCAATCTGACTCCAGAGTCCACACTCTTTTACTACAGGAACTATACGTCCTCTCTGACTAGCTGCTGGGTAAGTGAAATTTCTTGCCTTGCAGGGATGGGGGCCTTAGCAAGAAGGTGTCTGCTTCCGGAATGCTCCTTGACTGAAAGACTTGGGAACTGTCAGGTCTACCCACAACTTAAGGGTGAAACCTGAAATGGAAGGAATGAGAACCTGTGTTTGTAAAAGTTGTTATGAATGAAATCCATGTCTAAGCTGCCCAGCTCCCTGCTGGGGAAGTGAAATCACGGACCTGGAAGGGCCGGGTGCTGACCATGCCCACTCTTGGGATACTCTGGTGCAGTAGGTGTGAAAAGGGGTGCAGGCATGTGGGCTTCTACAACTCCCATGGGTTCTTCTTGTTGAAAGCTGTTTCAAGTCCCGTCCAAACCTCTCTCAAGGAAACCAAGACCCAAAAGGTAGATAGTGGCAAAGATAAGACTGTCCCCCAGGCCTTTTGACTTTAAGACTAATATTCTCTACTGGCAAAATATTGAAACTTTTAAAGCAATACTCAGGGAATGAAGGTATTGACATTATTTTTCCACTCTACTTCGCAGGTCATTGCTTTGCTTGTACAAACAGTGCTGACACAGACATTTTTGTGCACTTTGAAGAATGCCCTAGGGTGTATGCCATGCTTGGGTCACAGTGGGTGTGCAGAACCAATTATTCTAGATAACACTAAATCATCTTCCGAAAGGGCTGACCGGAACTACACTTGCCCTGGCATTGCAAAGTGGTCTGGTTCCACCACATCTTGCCAAGACTTGGTTAAACTTGTTAATTTTTGATGGGCATGAAGTGATATATCACTTGCAAGGTGCAAATTTGTATTTACCTAATGACTACTGAAATCAAGTATCTTCTCATATGTTGAATCATTCAGGTTTCCTCCTCTATAATTTGCTGGTTCATATCCTTTTCCCATTTTTCTAACTGATATGCATTTCTTATTGATATGTAGGAGGTACTTTCATATTTTGAATAAGAATTTTCTAATAATCTAGTCTAGAATTCATCAGGTAACATTGTTTATGTTGTCATTTGCTATGTAGAAGTTTTCAGTTTTAATGTTATCAGAATGAGCAATATTTTCTCCTGTAATTTGTGCTTTTTAGTCTTACTTAAGAAATGTTTCCAAGCCTTTAATGTATTTTCCTACATTTTCTTAAAGTCCTGATTTAATTTAATTTTACTATTATTTTTAAGTATAGTATTAGATTGCAATCCAATTTGTTTTTCCATTTGGGCATCCAGTTGTCCCAGCATCTATTACTGAATGGTTCCAACTTTTCCCCCTAATTTATAACTGTCATATAGTTTCTGTGTGTGTTAGTCTGTTTATTGCCTCTTAATTCTATTTATCCATCCAAAAGACAATATCTCCCAGTTCCAATTTCACTCACTTTTTAAGTAAGTATTGACATCTGGTGGAGCAAATCTCCCCAGTCTTGCTACCTTTTAAAATTGTGTTGGCTATTCTTGTGAGTTTTCTGTATTGCTTATTTGATTTCCTTTTTTTTTTTTTTTTTTGAGACAGAGTCTCGCCTTATTGCCCAGGCTAGAGTGAGTGCCATGGCGTCAGCCTAGCTCACAACAACCTCAATCTCTTGGGCTCAAGCAATCCTGCTGCCTCAGTCTCCTGAGTAGCTGGGACTACAGGCGTGTGCCACCATGCCCGGCTAATTTTTTGCATATATATATATATTAGTTGGCCAATTAATTTCTATTTATAGTAGAGACGGGGTCTTGCTCTTGCTAAGGCTGGTTTCGAACTCCTGACCTCGAGCAATACCGGCCTCTGCCTCCCAGAGTGCTAGGATTACAGGCGTGAGCCACTGCGCTCGGCCTGATTTTCATTTTATTGATTTCCACTCTTATTAGTTTTTTCTGTTCACTTCTGTGAGAATTATTCTGTTCTTATTTGTCTAACTTCTTGAGCTGAATGCCACTTATTTATGTTTAATCTCTTTTGCTATTTTTAAAGGAAATTATTCAAAAATATATATTTACCTCTAAGTATCTTTTATTTTCATCCCACAACTATTTGATCAGTTCTTAATATTTCTTAATTTGCACTGTAATTTTATCTTTAACCCACAAGTTGTCAAGGTGAATATTTTTCAGTTTCTTGAGTAAAGATTTTTCTCCTTTCTCTCTCTCTCTTTCTCCTTTATTTGCTCCCTCTTTCTCTCTTTCTTCCTCTTTTCTTTTCATCATTTATAAATATCCCATATATGTTTAAAATAAGTGTATATTCTCTGCCTGATGATGACATTTAAAATGGATTTTCCATTAGGTCAAGCTTATTAATTTCACTTTTTCGAATATTCTACATTCTTCCTAATTTTTTATCTATCTGATCTAACTAATTTTACTAGAGGTGTGATTTTTAAAAACATTTATGATTGTGCTTTTGTCTGTTTCATGTAACATTTATGAGTTTTTGCTTCATGCTATGCACAGCAATGTTCTTCAGATTATGCAAGTCCATCATCAGTGTATTACCTTGAAGAACTACATCTTTCCTTTTTGTGTACTGTGTCCCACTTTGCCTCTATGCATGTTTGTTTGGTTTTGTCTTTAGTTTGCTTTCTTTTGGTTCTATTTGGGTGATATACTCCTCTGTTCATTTTATTTCTAACTTTTCTGTGTGATGTTGCTTTAGATGTTTCTCTAGCTTGTAGCAGTTTACCAAGTTTTTTTTATTCTACAGTCTGAAAAACTCTTTTAATAGGTGTCATCTGTTTCCTACAATTGTGATTACTGATGTATTTTAGATTTTTTCTACTCTTATTTTACTGTATACTTACTGCTTTCTTTCTTTGCATTTTTCCTATTTTTTCTGCTTTTTTGATATTGAGAAAGATTTTATATTCTTTTTTCTCTTATCTTTCTGAAAGATGTAAAATTTTTATTATTTGGTGCTTATGTTGAAATTTTAACATGCATATTTAATTATTCATATTTCCTACAAATCCAAAAGGCATCCTGGATTTTGATCTTCCCCAAAGAAATAAGAAACTCAGTACTCTTTAACTAATTATTGGGCATGCTTTCTATCCCAGCATTGTTATAATTGTGTAATTTTATTTTCACCTTTAAAAAATAACACAAAAGTAGTTAAGGTTACTATCAATAGATAATTAAATTTACTAAGATATTTTATCAACTTCCTTGCTAATTCTTATTTTTTATATTCCAAATACTTTATTTATGTTTTTGCTTAAGTATATCTTTTAATAGTTCTTTTATTGGGAGCTTATTGATGCTAAAATATCTTGGTTTTTTAATGTTTGAAAACATCTTCATTTTCATTTCACTTTTGAATAGTAGTTATAAATTGACAGTTATTTTCTTTCTAGTATTGCAAAGATACTACTCGATAGCCTTTTGGCATCTATAGTTGCTGATGTAAAATCTGACACCAGTGTGATTACAATGTTTCTTATTCATTCTTTTCCACA